ATGCCCTTGCATGGTACACGTGATTCGTCTCTCTTCATCCCCAGTGGCACTTGGTTCCCGTCGTTCGGCCTTTCTTCATCATCCCTCTCGTCTCTGTATTGAGTGATTATTGGCCCATGGAATCGCCCTCTGCGTTGTTTGCTCTTCGCAGCATCCTAGTTCAAGGTCACAAGCTGACTGAACCGTCTCTCTGGGACATGCATGCATACAGGCTGGACCTCCAACAGGGAAACATCCGTCAGCTGAAGCCCTCTTGATTCCTCCTTCCACAAGTGTAGCTAGCCTTGATGCAGTCAACCAGGACCATAAGAGAAGCAAAAGTACCATGAGGGTCTTTTGTAAGCCTCGGCGTTTTCAAAGTCTCTGGCGACATCGCAATGTTCTCTTCGGGAAGCCACTCGTGCCTCTCTACAGGAGAGGCTTGCTGCTAAAGCTACGCGACTTGCCTCATTCATCACATTTGTCACCTCTTGAGTGGTTCCCATATTCATCTTACCTAATTCATTGGAGGGACTTGCTAATACCGCAAGGGAAACATTGATCCCCCAGGGTATCGTCATCCTGCAAGCCACACCCTCAAAGTCTGATGCTAAAAAGAAAGCAGTGACGGTGTCTGTCGCCCCCCGTGGGACATGATTTTCGCAAACATGTCATGGCTGTAGATCCGAGCTGAGAATCATCAACTCCTCACAACAAGCGCTGCAGAAAGCGCGGGAACTAAACTCATGAACACGCCGTGTCTCCGGTTGACTGGCAGTGGCCCTTCCCCACGTAGGCGATGTACCACGCGCCAGGGATGGCCGTGTTCCACTCCAAATCTCTGGGGCGTCCCTCCCTCTCAGCTCTGCGACCCTGTCAAGTCTTCCCCGCCTCTCTTCCTCTGACCTCAAGTGACCAAATAAATAATTGGCCAATGCAATTGTTACCCTCGAGACCCTGCGACCAGACTGGGTCGTACGGCGCCGAGCCTTGTGCTCAAGTTGGGGGCGAGTAACCCTGCTATTGCTAACCAATCTTCTCAGTCCTGCGTATCTGCTGTCCACCACCCTTGATATCGGCAGCATACCTGTCCGAGAAGGTCGATCTTTTCGAGAGCGAGCCAAGATGCTGCCCAGGCGGCCTAGACTGGGTATGCTCCCGAGAATCACCACAGAACCTTGCCACCTTTCGTCTACCCAGAACGAGCAGTCCAAAATATGCAGAGCACCCGGTTGGCATCTGGGCGCCGGCGGGGTGGCACCGCTGATAAGCGTTACCATTTTCCTCGTCCTTGGAAATACTTTAATTATCGGGTCCGTCCCGGGGAGCCAGCTTCGTCCTCACCTGCAGTGTGTTCTTCTCTAGCCCCGACATACACGACGTTGTCGTCGAAAAACGCCATGGCGAACGAGAAGACCGAATCGCCCGTTACCCCAATTGAGATTGGGAAGACACAGGGCGTGTTGACTGATGAGAAGATTCCAGCCGTGAGTACCATCAAGGTTGCGATAGACACGAAGAGTCACCGACGTTTATCCTTTAGGACTACCAAGCACAAGAGCTTCATCGCTTGGACTCCGAGGAGCATGCCTTCGAGTCGTAAGTCACCATGAACAAAACTTCTAATGCTCGAAACCCTAGCTTACACCAAGGAAGTCAACTCAATGTCACCGAGGATGATCTCGTCGAGGCAAAGGCCATCGCCGCCACCCTTTCTCTGGAGGGCGTGCGCAAGATGATGCAGAATGTGCTCAAGATCCACGACCGTGACCCAAACTTCCCTCACAGCGTTCTCATAAAGATTCACGAGTTCCTCGGTCAGTCTCTGGTCCGACTCACTAGTGTCTTTACACAGCGCTGACTGTAACAGACAATGATGATGTTATCGAGAACCCTGAGAAGCACGAGGAGATCATTTGGGAGATGAAGCTGGAGGCTGCCTTGATCACCAACAACAGCCCGTACGCCGAGGTGCGAGCCGTCGTCGACAATAAGGACGATCCGTCCATGCCCTGTGGCACGATTCGGGCCTGGACCATTGGTGTCTTCTTCTCCGTCTTCCTTGCTTTCATCAACCAGGTAACCTCATTTGCGCATCGTACAATGACCAAAGCACAAGCTGACAGCGTCACAGCTCTTCAGTGTACGCCAACCGCTGATTTCTATCGAATCCAACGTCGCCCAGCTCTTGGCCTTCCCCATCGGCAAGGCGTGGGAGAAGTGGATGCCAAACGCCATGATCCCCGTCGGCTTCGGCATCAAGCTGCCCCTCAACCCAGGCCGCTTCAACAAGAAAGAGCACATGCTCATCGCAATCATGGCCAACACTGCCAAGTCTTTGCCTTACACCCAGTACATTGTCTGGACCCAGGTTCTTCCTCAGTACTTCAATCAGCCGTACGCCAAGAGCTTTGCCTATCAGATTCTGATTGCGCTGTCCACCAACTTTATTGGATATGGTCTTGCTGGTAAGTGACTGAGAACGGCTATCGATGAAGACCAGCTGCTGATATCCAACAGGGCTCACTCGACGATTCATCGTTTACCCTTCCTACTGCGTGTGGCCCGCCTCCCTCGTCACGATTGCTCTTAACTCCGCACTCCACAACGAGACAAACACATCAGTCCCGGGCCCGTTCAAGAAGCTGTACTCAATGACCCGCTACAAGTTCTTCCTCTGGTCTTTCGGCGCCATGTTTATCTACTTCTGGTTTCCCAACTATCTCTTTGAGGTCTTGACCTTCTTCAGCTGGATGACATGGATCGCACCCAACAACCACAACCTCGAGATCACAACCGGCTTCCGTAACGGCTTGGGAATGTTCAACTTCTGGCCCACCTTTGACTGGAACGTGATGCTCTTCGACAGCGTCGACCCCCTCATGGTGCCCGCCTTCTCGACCTTCAACCGTACGCTGGGCATGTGGCTGCTCGGATTCGTGATTATGGGCATCTACTACACGAACGCCTGGAACACGGCCTACATCCCCATTAACTCCAACCGCGTCTTCGACCACTTTGGTGAACTCTACAACGTATCGAGAGCGCTTGACGACCGCGGAATGTACGACCATGAGAAGTACATGGACTACTCAGCTGCGTACCTCGGTGCTGCCAATACATTGGTATATGGCTCCTTCTTCGCCCTGTACAGCGCCGCCATCACCCACGTTTGCATTTTCCACCGCTACGAAATCATGATGGGTTTCAAGAACATGTGGAACACCATTCGCCGTCGCAAGACTACCAAGGAGGGCGAGAATGACGGAGAGTACAAGGATATACACAACCGCTTGATGGCCAATTATGCTGAAGGTAAGCATCGCAACTTGCCCTAGTTCCATTCCATACATTGGCTAACCGAACCACAGTTTCCGAATGGTGGTACCTTGGCACCCTTCTGGTTGCTGCGGCGTTCGGCTTTGCTGGTGTCGCTGGCTGGCCTACTTACACAACCCCTGGTGTAGTTCCCTATGGTGTCTTCTTGGCCGTTGTCTTCGTCATCCCCATCGGTATTATCAAGGCAATGACTGGTATCGAGGTTACGTTGAATGTCTTGGCCGAGTTTATCGGTGGCATGTGGGTTGAGGGTAACGCTCTGGCCATGAACTTCTTCAAGTCCTTCGGGTACGTTTGCAAACACACTCCAATCGACATCTTGATGGCTAACTCCGTGACAGATACGTCACATGCGCTCACGCCGTCCACTTCGCCAACGACTTGAAGGTCGCGCACTACCTCAAGATCCCTCCAAGACAAACCTTTGCCTGCCAGATGATCGCCACCCTCATCTCGACCTTCATCTGCACCGCCGTCATCAACTTCCAAATCAGCATCCCCAACATCTGCACCCCGCAGGCGCCGATGCGTCTCTTCTGCCCCGGCCCCAACACCTTCTTCACCGCCGCCGTCCTCTGGGGCACCATCGGCCCGATCAAGGTCTTTGGCCACCAGGGCCAGTACAACTACCTGCTGCTCGGCTTCCCCGTCGGCATCGCCCTGCCCATCATCTTCTACTACTGCGTCAAGTTCTTCCCCAAGAACCGCTACCTCCGCCAGTTCCACCCCGTTGCGCTCTTCTACGGAGGCATCAACTGGGCCCCCTACAGCTTCTCGTACGCGTGGCCCGCGGTCCCCATCGCGTGGCTGTCGTGGATCTACGTCCGCAGCCGGTACCTCGCCTTCTGGTCTAAGGTACGTCTGCTCCAAGCTCCAATCTTGCTCTGACGAACTTAGCTAACACACCCTCCAAGTACAACTTCGTGCTTTCGGCCTCCTTTTCCGCCGGCATCGCCATCGCTGGCATCATCATGCTCTTCACCGTCCAGTGGTTCGGCGCCGAGGTTCCCTGGTGGGGTAACGAACAGATTGGCGCTGGATGCGAGGGTTCCGCGTGTACTCTCAAGACTCTCGCCGAGGGCGAACGCTTCTACCCCTGGTGGAACCCCTCCCAGGTCCCTGCTCCCTAAGCTGCTTCATCGCTACTTGTCTCACTGGGCTTACCCGCCTTTGTTGGGCATGAAGTGATGTTGTTCGCGGGATGGATGGACTTCTGCAGGCTTGCTTGCAATACCGGATCATCGTCTTGTTTGCATTCACACCGCGCTCATTGAATTACTTTCACGTTTCACGACTAGACGAGAGATGGAGGTGAATTTTGAAAAACAAAACAATTATTTCTTGATTCCCCATATGTTTGTCACTGGAGGGCTCCCCTCTTTCAACAGCACGATAATAGCAATCACTAAATACCACTGCTAAACTCACGCCGGACTCTGAAGAGTGACTGACTGGATTGTACAAGTGACTGTGGTGCCACTGACGCTTGCGCTGACTCCAGACATGGTATAAGTCGTGGCCGAGTTGTAGTTTTGAGGCGAGCTATTGCACCAGCTGGAGTCCGAACTTCCTTCGGATGTCTGCACACAGCATGAGGTCATGTCAATGAAGGATAGTCAACTCTACTTACAATGACAATGTCTTTGAACTCCAACGGGCCAAAGTCCCAGGAGACGTCATACCTAAATCACCATCAGAGAAATGCCAGCTGGCGATCTCAGTCCTACTTGCAATTCAATAGCGAAGAGAACTTGATTAAACGACTTGTCGGCTAATATCATCATGTCAGGCGAAGATCCTCTATCTCCATGATTGAAACTTACCCAACGCAAAATCGTTATTCACACTCTGACCATTGCTCTGCCTCACAACAGTCGTCGTCCACGCAGAACCATCCGCCTTAAGCGTATTCGCGAAAGAAACCGTCTCCCCGCCGTACGTGTTGAACCCGCCGCCCCAAGGCAAGCTGGGGTTCGAGCAGCACCACCCGGACCCGAACCACCACGTGCCGGAGCGGCCGTCGAGCACGTTCTGGTAGACGCCCGAGTTGTCGGTGGGCTGCAGCCCCGGCCAGAGGTAGTACACCCCGGCCTGCTGCAGGGTCGGGATCACCATGTCCCCCGAGAAGGAGGTGAACTTCTGCCCGGAGGCGGGGTAGTACCGGAGGAAGTACCATGTCACTGCCGACACCGGATTGGCCAGCAGGAAGACCGATAGAAGAAAAAGGTTGCGATGCATGGCTAAGATTGATCTCGACTTGGTGCAATATTTGGGCCGATGGGAGACAGCAATTGAACCTGTCGGTCGCTTCCGACTTATTTATGTTCACCTTGAAGTCTTACCTGCCTCTTTTGACAAGTCCAGGGTATCGGCACATCATGGGGCACATGTGATCAATCAAGTTGCGATAACCGTCACCGCATTACCAGTTGAGGAAACCTCGATACCACCTGAACCAGGGTGAACGGGTTATCTGCTTGAACGAAGTCACGCTACCCTATCGGAGGTGCGTGAACCAGGCGATCCAAACAAGTTTATCGCTGCAACCTGCAAGAGTCCCGTTCAGAATCATTAAGAGATGTGCCGACTGGCGCGGCAGTGGCAGTGATGATAACACAAACTTTACAGGTCTGTTTTGTACGAAAGCAAACTGCCCAGCCAGCACTCTAGAGAGATGAAGTCAAGCTCTCGCGCACTTGCAAATTGCTCTTCTCCCTCATCATGTTTTCCTGGAGTCTGAGGGTGTCCAAGTCTTCGCAGCATACTGTGAACGAGAAGAAACAATGAGATTGCGTGTGAATTTCCTAGCCAAGCAGCACAGCGAACACAACAGCCCAAAGACTGTCTAAAAGTTTGAAATGTCAGAAACCTTGATGGTCCTACAGCCGATTCAAGGCTTGATGAAGTCCACACCATCGTTGGATATCGAACCAGCGCCGACTTTGGTCAGCGTCGTTTCTGGGGCACACAATGTCAGGTCTCTGCTCGCCTTGTCCATACTCTTCATCTGCATAGTAGCCGAGCGAGTTGCAAGGCATTCTATCGCCTTAAACTGTGCGGGTCGCTAATCAATCGGGTGTCTATCAGGGTTCTCATTTACTCCGTAGGCAGTCCACCAGGCGCAACAATCTTAAGTTGCTCGCTACCTCATTCCATGTCTGATCTTCTTTGCCTTGTTCAGCTTCTCTGTACTTTTCCTTTCTCAAAACTCCTGGGCCCAGGTACGGCCGATTCCATCGGATCCATAACCATGCTCCCAATGTCATTTGGCGAGCCATCGTTTCGCCCTCGTTATCCAGGCAGCAGACCTAACCCCACTGCACAAGCACCTTCTTGCCCTTCTTCTTCTTGCCTCCAGTGGGAGCTTCCTCCTCCTCCCTCTCTGAAGCGTTCTCGCTCGCCGCGCCGCTTCCAGGGGCCGACCCCCAGCTGAAGCTGCTCGAGGCGCCTCCCAGGTCTCGGCGAACACCTCTGCCACCGCCATAACCAAAGATAGTGGTAAGAGGCTTTTGAGCCGGAGGCAGGGCAGGGAAGTTATCGCCGCCAGTAGCCGGTCGGGCCTGTCGTGGTGCGGGTCCCGATGATCTGCTACCGTTGCTCGAGGACGGGTTGTTCGGGCCGATCCAGGACGGTCTCGGGGCTGCCGCTGCCGATGAAGACGATGAGGCAGCCGGGAGAGCGGGAAAGGCGTTGGGCGGCGGAGGACGGGGCTGGGAGGAGCCAGGCACCCAGTTGGTCGTGGCAGCTGGTGTGACTGGCTTAGGACCAGCAGCACCTGCGCGCGTGCTATTCTTGAGCCGCAGGACACGGCTAGACTGCTTCGAAGAGGGCGCAGCGCCAGGTGTGGCGGGAGAGGCGGTCGCGGCACTGGCCCAACCGCTGGACGATGTGGTAGCTCCATGCATACCGCCCAGACCGGGAAGGGATGGATAATCCTCGTTGATGGCCCGCCAATCCTGCCATGCCTTTTGCAGGGCCTCGGCCTTCTTCTTGTCTTCGAAGAGATCGGCAACTTCGCGAAGCAACGTTCCTAAAGCGTTTGACGACGTGTCTGCGAAGAGGGAGAAGAAGGCGTCCACAAGCTGAGGCGCAGTGAACTTCCCTCTCCTAAAGGAAGATATGTGTTCACGGAAGGTGTTCATTTTCGCTTCATCCTTCTTGAGCAGGGTTTCGGCACGTTCGATGACGGACTGATGGCGCAACATCATCGCTCGCTCTTGAGGAGGCAGTGACGAGATATCAGTGACACTTAGTTGCTCCATAGCTGTCGTCGGCAGTGCTGGAGCGGGCGTCTGACGGGAAGCTGCTGAAGGAGCAGGGGCGTTGCCTTGGCGTGATGAGGTAGGCTGTGATGGCGTTGAGGATGAAGAAAGCTGACCGCCAAATGTTCGGTTGGAAACTGATTGTGCTGAGTGAATGGCCATTTGCCTCTGGAAAGCAAGCTCATCACGACGAAGCGGCTGAGCTGAGCTCTGAGGGATGGGATCCGCATTAGGATCTCGGCCACGGCCACGTCCTTGTCGGCCGCTACCTGATCCTCCTCCTCCACCACCACCCCCGCCTCGCCTCTCATTCTCGTAACTGGGTCTGAAGTCAAAGCCGGACATGTTAACGACGCGTGCATCTCTGCGGACGTCCTTGGAAAGAGAGTCGGCATGTTCAGCCAGCTGGTGCGCCTTCAGGTCCATCTCAGACTCGAATACCACGAACTTCTTTTCCAAACACTCCCTGTCGAGACATGGGAAGTGGTCCTTCTCGAAGTGCTTCTCCAATGCAGGGTAGTTCACGAAGTAGTGAGGGTGTCTCGAGTCTCTTCGGTCGCAGAGGAAACATCTCTCATGCTTTTCGCGGCAATGGTCGAAGAGCTTGTCGTCATCGTAGAAGCGCGATCCGCAGAACCCGCAGAGGGGATGACCTTTGAAACCAGTCTGGTCGACTGCGCCAGGCTTGTCGTCACCGTGTCTCATGTGCTTCTCAAGTTCCTTATCGGCGAAGAGTTCGTGCTCGTGGGTGAAAAGCTTCTTGTTGCGGGTACACAGATCGCACATCTTCCGTTGGTGAGTCGACCGAACATGTCGGTGCAAGTCTGGCCAGCCCAGGCCGGCGAAGACACAATCGTCGGCTGGGCAGTTATATCGGAGCAGCACTACAGTATCGCCAACGATTTCTTCGTTTGCATATCGAATACCGATGTTACTGTCGAAACTCGTGATGTCGGCGTCGGAATATTCTTCGTATCGCTTGTTTGCGTCTTCGGTGAAGATTACAAAGGGAGAGGGTGTCTTGGCTCAAGTCAGCTTCCGTAGTTCCGCTGGACACAGAGAGGACTTACTCTGCAGTGAGGGCAGTCTTTGGTCTTGTACAACGCTCTCATACGCAGACCGCAGATATGGCACGTCTTGTGATTGCATGGCGCAATGGAGTGGAACTTGATGGGCTCTGCGCAGATGAAGCACACCTCGCCGTCGGTGCTAGCAGCATCGTCGGCATCTGCTGCGGCGCGGGCAACCGGCTTGGACTCAGGCTTCGGGGCAGCTTGCGGCGAGCTTGCATCCTTGGACTGGGCAGCTACACCAGCATTGTTGCCGCCTCGACCACGACCGCTCCTCTGTCCGCCTCGGCCGCGAGAACCAGCATTACCTCCACCACCGCCCCCGCCGCCGCGGCCTCTGCCACGGTTGCGATTGCCCCGCGAGGGGTTCGAGGATTCAGTAGACACTTGGGCGTCCGTCATGGAGATCGTCGTGATCGTCGTTGTTTGGTGACTTGTTCTGGGTAAAGGTATGGTATCGAATGCGCCTTGTCGGGTGGGGGCTCGGTCAAGGCTGACGATTGCTCCGTTTGCCGTTGCGCGAAAAGTGTCGCTGGTGGAGACGAGATGCTTATCGAGGGATATGAAGCTGGCTTCCGGTGCGCGCGGCAGTATTCGGGGAAGTGAACAGCAGTTAATTGAAAATGAGGGTAAGGCAGATCGAGGGAAGCAAGAGACAGACGGCGCGGACGGTTTTATTCGGGTGCCGCGAGACGAGGGACGTCCAAATTAATGATTATGTGTGGCTCCCAAAGGAACTTGCATTGGTGGATGCCAGCAGAGAGAATGGCGGGGTCCAGCAAAAGGTCCCCTGTCGGGGAGCAAAAAGAGAGAAAAAAAGGCCTGCCGGGGATTCTCCGGTTCTCGCTTCTCGGTGTGCGTCATTTACCCCTGCAATGCGCTGCGTCCGGCCGGTTGACAGCTGGTGGAAGCTTCGGGTGGGGTGGTATGATTACATAAGACGTTAGTTGGAATCAGCTCTCGTAACGCATCGAGTCACCGGCCAAAGCTGGCAGTGTGTGTGGCGTTGATGTTTAAGTGGCAGTGCTTATGGTATTGAAGGTACGAATATCTGATTGAGTTCGAACGTCCAGGAACTCTGGCATGTATGCAAGGTGACTCATCTTGGAGCTGCGTCTTCTGCTCAAGCGTTCTTGTGTATGGTGGTCTTTGGCATTACCTAGATTGCATCACTGTCACCGAGCCTCACCAATGCCGATCAAGTTTAGACAGATTGGAGACTAAGACTAGTGTCGGCCTAGTATCTCAAGGCCGAGCAGGTCAGACGCTCCCCTGCGCATAGCTGCGAGTTCAAACGCAGCAGCGTTTCCCGGTGTTGCCCATATGGGGCGAACCATGTCTTATGACGGTGCCATCCACAAACTCTTCTACTGGAACCATCGCGAACCTGTTCAATTGCTGCCGTTTCCCCCATGCCCGACCAAAGAACCCTTAAAATCTGCTGAGCCCAAACCAGAAAGACGCCTGTATTTACATCCACCACCGCCACCCCATTCTGTTGCAGTCTCGGCCTTACTCTGCTTCGACTGGGTAGAGATGGCTGCCGATCATCTTGTTCATCTGGAACATGTCCACCTTGGGCACCTTGAATATGGCTTGCATTTTGTCGTCGCAAAGAATCTGCCGCTTGTTTTCGGGGTCCTGCAGGTCGTTCCCCTTGATGTGCTCCCAAAGCTTCTTGACCACTTGCGGACGGGACAGCTGGCGGAACATGTTAGAGCCTACACAAGGGGCCAAGTGCGGTCAGCGGGACATACCTGTTGCTCGCCAACCAGCTCCGCCAGGGGAGAGCTCAAGTTGAACGGCTTTTGGAAACCACCACCGGCCTTGCGCTTAGGCGCCTCGCCTCCCTCGATGTCACTGTCGTCCCCATCGCGAACCTTGGTCGCGCTCTTCTTCTTGGGAGCAGTCCTCTTCTTCTTGGTGTTTGATTTGTTGGTCGCCCCGTTGCCGCCGCGGGTCGTCCGCCCTCTGGCCATGCGGTTCTCCTGCGCCTGCAGCTCGGCGGCAAGCTTGGCATCTGCGTCCTCTGACGAATCCTCGCGCTTTTGCTTCTTGCGGACAGGAGACACAGACACCTGTATTTCGCCATCGCCGTCGACCTCGTCGTCATCGTAACCATTGGCCTCACGTTTATGGGGAGGGCTTGCGGATTGGTCGTTGCCGTCTGGTGAGCCGGAGATGGCGTCGAAGCGCTCCTCGATCAGCGCCTTGATAGCATCCTGGAGAGGGAAAAGTCAGCCTGTGCCCGACGGTGTTGTTCACGCGAATCGCCCAAACGTGGTATGTGTGCCTACCTTCTGAGCACTGAGATCCTTTCCGCCAAGAGCCGTCTCCAGACCTTGGCGAATCTTTTTCCGGGTGACGGTGGTGAGGTCCGCTGTCGCAAGGATGCCGTCGACGATGGAGGTGTAGCGAGACTCCTCCTCTGCGCTGACTGTAGAAAAGGATGTTAGCGAGGGGGACCCGACTGATACCCAAGCGATGGGAAAGTGATGGGTACGCACGTGGGCTAGACATGATGTCGCCGGGCTGACCACAATATTTATGCACCGATATGTATGTCGTAGATGCGTCGGCAGCGGATCCGGGCCGTTCCTTTTTGTATGATGCACGTCCGGGCGTGATATATCGGTGAAATGTAAATATGCTGGCGGGAGCCGCAGGTAGATGGCAGGCAGGAAGAGGGAAGGCGAGAGTTGGGTAAGCTTGTAACCTCTGGTCAAAGCATCTCTTGTGAGGGAAGTAGAAGCTGCGACGGGCTACGGCGAAGGAACGTTGCTGGATGAGGGAGGTGGAGCGCAGCGCAATCCACGCCTTTGGTCGTATCGCGGCGTCAGGTCGGAGGCGCATCAACCCGCGAGAAATGGACGGACGGGACGCACAAGGCTGAAAGGGGACTGCGACGAACGATCGTTGGTGGGGCGTGGATGCCAAGGCGGGAGGTGGAAGGACGCGAAGATGCCGTTGCTCGAGTGCGCGACGAGGATGAGGTAGAGATGCTGAGGGCCGCTCCAATCCGGTACAGGGCAGAGTTGGATGCGACGATGAGGCCGTGACGAGGAGGCGTGCAGCGGCGTCGGTGGCAGCGGCGGTGGTGGTGTTGTGATGCACAATCAGAAGGTGGCCAGTGACCTGGGATGGTGAGGCTCTCCTTCCGTTAGGCTATCCGTAGTAGGTATCGGTACGGCGTAGGGTGGTAAGGTAGGTTGTTTGTTTGGTTTGGCGGTTCTCCTGCAGCGAGCGAGACTCCTCCTAACCGGCCTCTAGTGTGGTCTCTTGTTTCCTTCTGGCCAACGGGATTCAAGCGCAACAATCGTGTGGCTGGAGAGAAAGGAAAGGCCGAACATAACTCGCTGGCTCTCACCAAAAAGTGGTCTTTGGTCTTGCATTAGGCGTTGGCTCGAGCTCTGGCAGTCCAGACCACTGCGCCGTGCCAATCACGGCTGCGAATTGGCTCCCGCCCCATGTCCCACGGCACCCGTCGGCAGCCCCCCCACACAAGCAATACTCAGTGTTCGGGCTTCCTTGCGACTGGGGTGCCTTAGGTAAGCGCCATGTCGGCTGAGAAGCATCACGTGGCTCGGCTTGCAAAGGTTGACTTGCCGACGACTTACATAAGCACATGATCCCGCACATCCGTGGATCTCGGTGTCAGCACCTTGATCATGTCCTCCAACCACACCTCGGTGACCCTCGCCAATCACGTCCTATCTCTTCGGTGAACGGGCTACTCTCTTTCCTGAATTGGCAGCACCCTCGTCGCCTGCCAAACAGGTGCTCCACTCTTGGCTTAGCTTCGGCCTAATGGCCCTCCCAGCCGGTGCAGCGAGGAGGGAGGTCATGTCCCGGCAGTCGGTGTGATCTTGGACCCTTCCTCTGATGTTCTTGGATTGAACATTGATGACGTCGCTGATGTATCTATCTCTCTGAACCACTGTGTCGTCGAACAAACTCCAGCATTAATCGTCCTTCATTTTCCTTAGATCTTAGCTCGCGAGGGACACTTCATCATGTCGCTCCTATGGGTTCCCACGATGCTGAACCCCTTTAGCATGCTCACTCAGGCCTTCCCCCCGCATCCGCAGTTCACAGAGAAAGACATTGCCGATCTCACCGGAAGGGTCAGTCGCTCTCAACCCCACACGCACGGCATCGTCTCACGTCGTACAGTTATGCATCGTAACGGGTGCCAACACGGGCGTTGGCAAGGAGGTCGCGCAGATCCTCTACTCCAAAAACGCTACCGTCTACGCCACATCGCGCTCCGAGGAGAAAGGACGCGCAGCCATCGCCTCCATCAAGGAAGCAATTCCCGACTCCAAGGGCAAGCTTGAACTTTTAACCCTTGATCTGGCCGACCTGACCACCGTCAAGCCGGCAGCCAAGGCGTTCCTTGCCAAAGAAACGCAACTTCATCTCCTCATCAACAATGCCGGCGTCATGATGCCACCGCAGGGCAGCCAGACTGCCCAAGGCTACGAACTCCAGCTGGGCACAAACTGCGTCGGGCCCTTTCTCTTCACCAAGTTGCTCACGCCCACTCTGGTGGGGACGGCCAAGACGGCGCCCAAGGACAGTGTGCGTGTCGTCTGGGTGGCAAGCTCTGCTACTGAAGTCCTCTCACCAACTCCCGCCATTGAGATTGACAATCTCGACTACAAGCGGGATAGACTCAAAGAGGTCAAGTATGGAATCAGCAAAGCGGGGAATTACTTCCACTCGACAGAGTTCGCAAAGCGACACAAGGCCGACGGCGTGATCAGCGTGGTAAGAGCCGATGTGCGAATACGATCAAGCAGAGGACAGAATCTGACATCCGATTAGGCGTTGAATCCCGGAAACCTGAAATCAGACCTAGACCGTCACATCACTGCTTTCATCCCGCGGTTCTTCAGGAAGACCACAACGTATCCTCCTATCTACGGGGCTTACACGGAGCTCTTCGCCGCCGTTTCACCAGACGTCACCATCGAAAAGACTGGAGACTGGAGTAAGTGTCTGCCAAAATCAAAGACGACTCGTGCTAATTCAACAATGCAGTTGCTCCTTGGGGCCGCTTCTACTCGATCAGAAGCGACTTGGTTCAAAGCTCCAAGTCTCGCGAAGAAGGCGGCACTGGCCTTGCAGAAGACTTTTGGAAATGGACTGAACAGCAGGTCGAGAACTATCTGTAACGCTGAAACGACCTTTCTACAACGTCATTTGGCACAGTTTGCATATCGAAGGCCTACTTAGCAGCAGATCACAGCTTTTAGTCACCCGCAGTCACCTATGACAACTCATGAAGACAGATTCGTCACTGAAGAATATATTCAAAACTAAGTCCAATAGGCACAGTGCCAAAGTCTCTATGTGCAAAAAAGATATGTACATCAGAATGGGGGCGCGCTCCTCCTCGCCTCAAGATCCCGGCCTATTAGTCCGGAGAACTCGAAGCATGTCTCATGATTGGGCTAGGCCATTAACGACCTGCTTACTGGCGCTGCTGCTTGGTGCTGCGGCGGCGGCGGCGACGGCAAGCGGGCTTAGCAGAGGCCGAGGCGGCGGGGGCAGAGCTGGTTGTCGCGGCAGCCGGGGTGGTGGCAGCGGGAGCAGAGGGCTCCTCGGAGACAACGGGGGCAGCGGAAGAGACGGGGGTGGCGGCCGGGGCAGAGCTGGCGGGCTCAGAGGCGGCGGGGGCGGCAGAGGAGGTGGCAGCAGCGCTGGAGGTGGGGGCAGCGGCGGCGGGAGCAGAGGTGGCAGCAGGGGCAGAGGTGGCAGCGGGAGCGGCGGAGGAGGCAGGGGCAGCGGAGCCGGAGTCTGAAGATCCGGAGCCGACGGCGGTGGTGATGTCGCCGTCCTCGATGTAGACGCCGGAGAAGTAGAAGTCCTCGGTCTCATCGGGGTAGCCGTCGCGGGGGAGCTCGAGGACACCGACGTGCCAGTCGGCGCCGTTGCTGGAGGCGGAGGCCTTGACGGGGGCGACGATCTGCTTCAGGGCGTCGGAGCCGGTGGAGTGCCAGAAGCCGACGGAGCCGCCGTCAAAGTCGATCTCGTAGGCGACGTTGTGCCAGACGTCAGCCTCCCAGGTGACGTTCCACTGGGTGGTGCCGCCGACGACCCAGCGGAGGAGGGGGTCCTCGGTGCCGGAGGCGCCGCTCTGCCAGCCGGACTTGAGCTCGACGAAGTGGCTCTCGAAGAAGGCGATCTGGTGCTCCTTGCTCAGGGAAGGGGCGTTGGTGTCGCTGCGCTTGAGGCTGAAGTGGTAGTACTTCTTGCCGGAGCCGATGGCCTCCTTGGTCTGGGGGATGAGCTCGGTGCGGCGCATGGTCTGGCCGTTCCAGAAGGAGGTGCTGGTCAGGGAGATCTTGGCGCCCTGCTTGGAGCCGGTGTCGGCGGGGTTCTTGAAGTCCTCGGAGAGGTTGACGTAGTCGGTGGTGGCGCCGGAGCCGTGGATGTAGTACTGGTAGGCGCCGACCTGGTTGCTCCAGGACCACTTGTCGAGGTCGCTGGAGGTCGTCATGTCGTTGAAACGGCCGTCCCAGACGATGGCACCCTGGGCCTGGGTAGCCAGCAGAGCCGCACTGGCGATGTTGACAGTGCTGAACTTCATTTTTGCGGGTATTTGTGTTGTTGTCTGAAGAGACTTGTGGTGTAAGTGAATGTGTGTGTGCTGTTGCCTGAACCGACCCGGTCGGCTTGGAGGAAGCTTGAATGAACGAATGGAAGGGGTGAGTGAAGAAAGAGAGGACGCAGGTCGCAGCAATCGATGCCTTGGCCGTGCTTCTAGAAGTTCAGTGGACGAGAGAATGAAGTTTTAAGCTCAAAAGCCAAGGGGGAGGGAAGAGGAGAGGTGGCACACGCTGGCGGCCACACTTCTTTATGTAGGACATCAATCTTCCACTCTCACGGTGGCCCTGGATGGGACGAACCGAACATCGAAGGGCATCTCGCTCCGTGATTCCCAGAAGGGAGATGACCCCGCAGGCCTAGCTGCGAGGAATAGAGTAGAGTGGCCTCCTTTGGGGGGATTGGGGCCTGCAGAAGCCACTCTGTCGGACGGCAAGGCTACCCGGTTCAGCGGGTGCTGGAGGGATCATGACATTGAGTTGTGTGTCTGCTTGGGTGTTTCTCCGTGCAGGCGAGGAAGGGAACAAATTAGATTGCGGAGTTGTGCCTGGCTTCAGGTGAGGCCATGGGCCATGAGGCCACGCCATACCGCAGCGAGACGCATGCAGGTACGGTTGGGATCCCAGGCACGGCGGCAAGGTCAGCGTTTATTGCCAAGTTGCAGGCCATGAGAACGAGAGCCGAAGCCTGAAGGGGGATCGCGACGACCAACATGCCGGGCAGGGCCTGGACTGGACTGGACGGACGGGCTTTGACTACCCCCCAAAGAGCCCAATTCTGCCTTCCAGCAGGGCGGCAGAGCGAGAGAAATCATCAAGGGTTGGCGGTGGGCGCTTTGTATAGATGAAGTCGAGTCCACATCTCGTTTGCGCCTTGTATGGGAGAGAAAGCAGGTCGATGCAGGGGGTTGTTTAAAAGTGACAGAAGTGAAGCTTTTCCCCTGGGAAATTTCCACGGAGGGCGGAGCGGGGCCACTAGACTCGATCGGGGGGGCCTTTCCAGACGCTGTGAACACTGTGAGCCCGGTGGGCGCGCCCCTATTCGGCACGACCGGGAACACCCTGAGCGAGTTCATACCAAAAGTCAATTCATTCGATTCCCAGCGCTGTGTTTGACCGTTTGTTGTTGGTGGAAGATGATTCAAGCGTATTTTGACTCTGGAAGCCGATGAAGCCATCGGCTTTGTTACCGGCCACCCTGACCGTAGCACGGAACAAACAATTAGCAGCAGGTGATTATTGTCATGCAGTGAGAGACATGTTCAGGCCGACGATTGAGTGTCACAGTACTTTCGGTTATCGGTTCAACAGCGGCACAACCTAAGCGGGAGATCGCCTAATAACGACAGGCATTTCCGTAAATCGGGCCCGACAATCCGAAGCGCCCACCTCGCGCCCCCGGTTTTGTGTTGTGCACCGCTGTGTCCTGACCTGCGCTGCGGGCCTTGAGTCGGCTCCGGCGCACCCGTCGTCAGATTCAAACATCTCAACATCCCCGATGGCACAATTGGCTAGCGCGTCAGACTGTTAATCTGGAGGTTGGTGGTTCGAGCCCACCTCGGGGAGATTCAGTGGTTAAATTCCACCTAGGAGTTGATGATTTCTTTTTATTTTCATTTTTGTGTCAATGACCAGTCTTGATCGCTCATCATCTTTTCTCCCGCTGTACTTCCTGCTCATGACCGCAGATATTCGCAGGCGCCCTTACCCCAGCGCGTCGCCCCCTTGTACACCCACATGCCCGGCGCGTTACCACTTCTCAAACCCTCAATTGCGTCGGCGACCTGCGGCCCAATGCCTTCGTTCTTGATCTCCTCCAGCGGCGTCATGTACGTCTTGAAACTGAACATGATGGCGCCCGTCTTGGGCAATCTGGTCAAAGTCTGCAGTTCCTGTCTAAGGCGGGTCTTGAAACCGTTAGCTGCGTATTTCTCTCTGACATGAAGACTGGTCTACAAACCTTGCTAATGTCAATCTCCTCATCCTCCTGCGGCTTGTCGCCGTCGTAAATGTGCAGCCCACTGGGACTGAAGAGCCTTTCGCTCGTCGAGATAGACCACTAGCCCGCTGAATCAGTCCAAGCCCACCCATCTAGACAGCTTCATGACCTACATTCATGCGCTTAACGCTCTTTCCCACCTGCAATCGGCTAAAGAAGCGTTCCATGCTGGCTCCGATCTTCTCATATGACGGCACGGGCGTGTGGATGTCCTTCAGCAACTTGCCCAGCTTGTCCGAGGGATCAAAGCCAGCTGGGTGGCAGCAGATGAACGCGACCGCTCGGTGGCCTTCTGGAGTCTCGACCAGCAGGAAGAAGTCGTCTTCGATGGTTTCTCCCAGAGCTTGAAGCGCGGCGTTGGGATCTTGCGGGGGTGTCAGAGGCAGCGATGTCTTAGTGACCTTGTTGTAAAACTCCTGACCGTCTTCGGACAGGGCGAACATGGTTGGAAATCGAGCTGGCAGGTACTCTCCGAGCAGATACGTGTATGTCTCGTGGAGAGCCGGTATGCCTTCGGGGACAGCCCCTAGCACTGTGGGTGCGTGGTGCTCGATGGTCTCGCGACGTTCGTTGACGCGATCCAGGTAGTTGCTGTCCATGATGACAAGGTCGTCTGGTGTACTGCCCTGGATGGCTATGAGAGCAGACGGTCAATGTGAGAACGAGGCGCCTAAAAGACCGGAGGGGCTCCGACTTACCCATGGTGATGTGGTAGACTGGCTTAAAAGGACGATGCTTGTCCGGTGGTGTCTGTTCCCAGTTGAAACATTTCAGAGGTGTGATGCCAGCAGCGCTGTCCATCTTCTCTGATGGTAGAGGCTCATGGGATATTTTCTGGACTTCGATCAGAGACTTGCCGGGTGAAGGATGTTCAACTCACTCACTTGGTTTAGGGACCGTCCTCTCCATCTCCACATAGAGAAGATGGCAACGGCCAACGCCAATGCTGCGAGGAAGAACATGTCTGGACCCTATTTTCTTTTATCTGGATGCCTACTCTGTGGCCCGAAAGAAGTTGAAATAAGTCTTTTCGTTCCAACAAGTGATATAAGTGTTCGATCAAAGCGATTGCAGACGTGACTCAACTCGTTCAACAACCCGAGTAAGGTGAGGGTCCCTGATATACGTCGACGGCCTAAGCCAAGATAGAGCGTTATCGGCCCAACCAGCTGGGTCTCTGGCCGCCCCTCCACCAAAAGGCTAGTTTCCCTATCAAGCTATTACACGCGTGAGTATGTCACTCAGGACAAACTTTCCAAAAATGGATGCTCGATTGAGACCACCGGCCGCTGAGTGGTCGGACGAACTCGGGACTTGCGTTCGGTCGATCAACAAGGCGCCTTTGACATCCTGTCACCACATCGCAAAAGATAACATCAGCTTGCATTCAGCAGCACTCATCTGCAACAGTTTCAGATTCAATCGCAAGTATCGACCGGGTTCCGGTCGGGAGATGCCACCCGCGGGGTACAGAGTTGGTCATGGCGCTGGACGATTCCCCGCACGCCACGCTGGCAAACGACCCGGGATGACCTCCATTGCGCCTCATCGTCTCGTTGCTGGACCGCCATCCGATAGCTTGTACGTAATAAATGTTGGGCATCGCCTGCGATCGGTAGTTGCTGGTCCTCAGCATGTCGCTCTGCGCGAGGTGGTCATTGACGGAAGCCATCGAGAATGCTTTTCTGGTGAACGATGAATGGCCGACTGCGTTCAATATGGCGGACTCAGTGAGGTGCAGACATATGGAACTCTCACATCCGTCATTGCCTCATTCAAATCAATGACTGATTGCTGATATTATCTTAGGGGAAAAGTGATGCATGAGATGGAAGCAGGCGGCGAACAGTTACAGTACTGTGCTCAGTGGTATGGAAGATCGAGCATCGTCAGCGTGCAGCAACTGTCAACTCGGCCTGCAGAATGGCTATTTAGAGATGAAGTTGAACGCTACTTCAGAGTTAAGTTATCAAGAGATGCGGTGCGTTTTACAACCCCACGAACGTGATAAGATAAGATTAAGAATAGATGCATCGGAACTTGCGAGCCGACGTGAAGAACTGACCTAACCTTGGTTGAAGATCCGGCTTAGATAAGCAAAAGCTTATCAAGGCAGCTACGTAATCAGACGGGCTCCAAAAGTCAATGGAGCAGGGGTGAGCTCCTCATTCGGCTCCACGCTCTCACCATCATCCATGTCCTTGACCATTCAGAACGCCGAAGTCGCGACCGAACGGCGCTGATAGCGGCCCCTCCAGCGTTCCAAAGGTTCCCAGAGCTCTCTCTTTTCGCCGGCGATGCCTGCATTCTTGGTTTGAAACGCCGGCCGATTATCCAGCCGGCCCGTTTGGCACCTTCTGCTTCGGGCAAGGGACCATCGCATCCCTCGAGAGCTCGGCAGCAGTACGAAGAGAAACATTTCGTACTTAGCCTGACTCGGACCCCAACTCTCCCACCTTCGCAACCTGAGCTCTTGATCCCAGCGCAGTCGACCAACAACAGCTCATGGTCGTCAACATGGATCCAGAGAAGAGCGGCCTTCCGCCTTACAGCGATGACCCGTCATTTCCGGGCTCGCGGCGTTCGGCACCCCATCGCCATCACCACCACATGCGCTCGAAGCGATGGCTGCGGCCCAGCCGTAGCATGAAGCTTATCGTGTTGGCACTCGGCTTTATTGCATTCGCTCAATGGAAGCAACTCTCCTTCCTGCCTACCAGCAAGCCATCCAGCAATCTCTCAGCTGCACGCCTGCAGCAAGATCTCGCGACGTGTGCCAAGCTCCGGCATAAGCCCCAGGACCCAATTGGCCTCGGTCGCGAGAAGAACGCACGATACGTCGACGGTCAAAAGCCTACGCTCGTCCGGAATGCCACCATCTGGGTGGGCGAGGCCGCCGAGGGAACTTCCCCCGAAGACGACCGCGCCGGCAAGGGTTACTCCTGGGTCACCGCCGACGTTCTCATTGACTACGGTCTGATCCAAAAGGTAGAGGCCGACATCTCGCTGGACTCCCTGCCCAAGGACACCCAGATCTGGGATGCCAAGGGTCGCCAGCTGACCAGCGGCATTATCGACATGCACTCTCACGCCGGTGTTGGAGCTCTGCCCGAGCTCAATGGCAACCAGGACGTCAACGAAATGTCCAACGATATCACGCCATACGTACGCTCCATCGATGGCCTCAACCCCCTCGACCCGCAGATCCAGGTCATCAAGTCTGGCGGCGTCACGACCTCGCTAGTCCTGCCTGGCTCTGGCAACAACATCGGCGGCGAGGCGTACGTTATCAAGCACGCCGTCGGCAAGCCTGACGGCCGCACCGAGTTTTCGGCGGAGGACATGCTGGCCGATCCCGACCGTAACTGGCGCTACATGAAGATGGCTTGCGGAGAGAATGCGAAGCGTGTCTATGGAAAGGTTGGCCACAGCCCCTTTTCTCGTCTTGGTGAGAGCTGGGAGTTCCGCCACGCCTTTGAGCAGGCCGCGAAGCTTGTCCGCGACCAGGACGACTGGTGTGACGCCGCTGAAAAGTTCGGCGTCGAGTCTCAGGGCTCTTATCTGCCTCAGGACCTGAAGTGGGAGAGTCTCAGCGCTGCGCTCCGCGGCCAGGTGCACATTAACACGCACTGTTACACGATTCCCGATTTGGAGGCGTTCGTTGACCACACGAACGAGTTCAAGTTTCCTGTGCGGGCTTTCCACCATGCCCACCAGACCTACCTTGTTCCCGAGGTATGCTCAAACTACTCATAGTAGCTTCGCAGACATCACTAACGATCAACGTAGATCCTGAAGCGAACTTGGGGAGGCCGCGCGCCTGCCTCGGCGCTGTTCGCCGACAACATGTACTACAAGTCCGAGTCCTATGTTGCTTCTGAGTATGCTGGCAAGATCCTCTGGGAGAACGGCCTCACCCCTGTCTACGTCAGTGATAACCCGGTTTTGAACGCCCAGCACGTTCTCTTCGAGGCCGCAAAGGCCTACAAGTACGGTCTGCCTTACCATGCAGCCCTGGCTAGTGTGACGTCTGCTCCCGCCGAGCTCCTGGGTCTAGGCCAGAGAATCGGCAAGATCAAACCCGGTTTTGACGCAGACATTGCTGTGTGGGACAGTGACCCTCTCAGCGTTGGAGCCGCGCCCGTGCAGGTCTGGATCGACGGAGCATCGCAGTTCTCTGATCCTTTCGAGCTCGACAAGCCTCTCACCGGCCCCATCTCGCCTGATCCAGAGCTGGCAAAGATCGCGGAGGACACTGCCGACCTCAAGGATGTGATTTTCACTGGAGTTGCCAATGTCTGGCTTTCCGGCGAGGAGAAGACATACAGCGATGAGTCGGTCAATGTCGTTGTCTCCAATGGCACCATCAAGTGCATCGGTGCTTGTGCCGAAGAGGTTGCTACTGCCAAGTCATCGTCGCAGAAGATTGTTGACTTGAAGAATGGCTACGTGACCGAGTCTTTTACCGCCTTCGGCTCCAGCATTGGCCTGAATGAGATCGACGGCGAAAGGGACACGGACAATGGCAACAGTCCCGGGTTCAGCCGCGGCCTTGACGGGCTGCTGCTGGACAACAAGAAGCTCCACGTCGCACTCCGTTACGGCGTCACCAAGGCCATCTCAGCCCCCAAGTTCGCCGGTCAGGCGACCCACTCCGGAACGAGCGTTGGATTCAACACGGGTGCTCTGCATGCCCTCGAGAAGGGTGCTGTCTGGGCCGAGGATGTCGCACTCCATCGCACTCTGACACTCGACGCCAAGAGGGGCGAGATCCCTTCCATCTCTGGCGCGATCGGCGCACTTCGTCACACTCTGTTGGAAGCAGTGGCCTCCAACAATACCGGCTCAGACCCGTTCTCAGAGGCCGTCTACCTCAAGAAGGTGGTCGACGGAGAGCTGCCCTTGGTCTTGACGATCCACAGTGCTGACGCCATCGTTGCGGCGCTGAGGGTCAAGTCTGCGGTCGAGGAGGCCCTGGCAGCCAAGAGCCAGACCTCAGCGTCGCCGAAGCTCAAGGTCGCGATCATCGGCGGCGCGGAGTCGCATTTGGTCGCCTCTGAACTGGCCGAAGCTGGTGTGGGTGTGGTTCTGTCGCCCTTCCAATCCTACTCCACCACCTGGGACCAGAGGCGCTCTCTCACCGGTGCGCCTCTCACCAACGGCACTGCGATTGACACCCTGCTCGATGCAGGTGTCGTGGCTGCGATCGGGCTGGAGGAGGATTGGCTCATTCGCGACCTGGGCTTGCTGGCGGGCATCGCGTACAAGAACGGAGGCAGCCGGCTCAGCCAGAAGAAGGCACTAGACTTGGTTTCCAGCAACGTCTACAAGATTCTGGGCATCGAGGAGCCGCAGGCGAGGGACTCTCGCCACTTTGTCGTGTACGAGGGTAGCCCGTTGGAGATTGAGGGAAGAGTTCGGGCGGTTGGTAGCGGCCGTGACACCGTGTCGGTTTTCGTGTAAGCAGATATTAGTAGCCATGCATCTTAGTGTAGACGGAGGCAACCGACGGGATGGACGTAATGTCAGTGACCCCACACGGGCGAGAGTCTGCCGCCGAGATTCCGGCGCTCGGAAGTGGGTTTCCGCGCGCGCGTGTTGCGCTCGGAACGCCCTCTTTCGCATGCATGACAAGTAGCCGCATTTACGAAATAGTAGCTACACGAATTGGACAGAAATGCGACCAGACGAGACGGTCCGTGATAAGTCAGCCCCATTTGCCGCGAGTGGTACCGGGCCGGGGCCTTACTCAGACACTCTCACTCATCGTTGTCCCGCATTACTACTTGGTAGTCCCGCGCGGGTATTACCAATCTGATCCCGGCCACAAATGACTCCGGTGTGTCAAGAAGCGACCAATCAGAGAGAGCCGATGCCACGCCAGCTGAACAGTTGCGGCTGCTACTTGAAGTTGCAGACATCCCTCTCTCGGCGCAGTTGCAAGATATCCAATAAAATCAGACAAAGTTCGAATGACACAGGCTTTGCCAATTCGCCTTATAAGATCCCTACGATACCCCAACTTTGCCTCGGCATCATCTATCCTTAAGTCAGCAAAGAAATTCACAACGTCTACACACACAATGACACGCGCAGCAGTGGTTTGCGTCTCACACGGTGGAGGTATGCGGGCCGTATGCAGCCCTGTAGTATCTGTCGCTGACCATCTCACCAGGCCCTTTGCCCATCCTTGGGGACCCCGGACATGCCTCAGTCACAGCATCACTCAAGAACCGCGTGCCCAAGATCTTCAAGCTCAACACCCCTGACGCCCCCAAAGCAATTCTTGTTGTTACCGCACACTGGTCTGAAAGCAAGCCGACCATATCATCGGCGGCCAGCCACGGTCTGTACTACGACTATGGCGGTTTCCCCAGGGAAGCCTACTCGCTCAAATACCCCGCCCCCGGATCACCAGAGATCGCCCAGGAGGTGAAGCAGGCGTTTGAAAAGGAGGGGCTCTCACCAGAACTCGACTCACGACGTGGTATGTGAAATCGTGCTTATGTACTTTGATCGGGTTATAGAAGGCTGACAGGTACCAGGTTGGGATCACGGCGTGTTCGTCCCCATGCTCCTCGTCAACCCCGCCGCCAACGTCCCCGTCATACAGCTCTCCGTACTCGAATCAGAGGATCCCGAAGAGCACTTCAAGATGGGCCGCGCTCTCTCCGCGCTGAGAGACTCTAACATTGCCATCCTGGGGTCCGGCTTCGCCTCCATTCACAACCTCTACAAGATGCGGTCCCTCTTCATGGGAGACCCCAGCGGGGTTGCCAAACTAAGAAAGCAGGTCAGCGAGTTCGACAAGGAGCTCACGAGCGCCGTCCTCCAGGAGAAGAGGGAGGACAGGACAAAAGCCCTGTCGGGCTGGCGCAAGTTCAGCCACAGCTACGACATGCACCCGCGCGGCGGCGCCGAACACTTCCTGCCGCTACTGGTATGCGCCGCGGCCGCCGAGGACGAGGTTGCCGGGGTGTACAAGGACGAGTGGATGGGAGTCGACATCAAGACGTATTACTGGGGAGATGTACGTGTCTGATTAAACCTTTACTAGCCTAATATGTCTTTGATTCTATATGCTTGATTCCCGAAAGCGCCAGTTACCCCCGTCCGCGAGTTGTTTTACAAGCGGATTACAGTACAAGTTTTGTTGAAAAAAAAGGAAAGAGAGTGAAAGAGAGCGTGATCCTTGGGTTCCCCATCTAGTCTCATAATACATCGATTCATATTCATTGCATCATTGATCCCTGAGTGTCCGAAACGAGAACACCGACGCCGAATGCTGATGAGAGAGAGAGAGAGAGAGAGAGAGAGAGAGAGAGAGAGACAGAGAGAGAGAAAATATAGTCCAAACCGCATCAGTCGTCCATCGTTGTCAAATTACATCCTTCGCAACCTGTTTTTTAAAAAAAATGGAAAAACTCAAAAGGGGTAAAACGCTTGCTTAGCGAGTGCTTGGGGTGAGGGAGGGGCTGGGGGTTCATATAGTCATTGATGACCGCAGAGTATCCCCATCGCGTCGGCGACTGGGTTCGAGTCCTTCTTCTCCACGACCCAGCCGGTCTGCACGTACCTGTGAAGCCAGCTGACCTCGCGTCCTCGGTGGCCGTCACAGTCACGGCATCCCTTCCGCGCCAGCTCAAGACCGATCACGCCGCCGTCCAGCAGACCATTCTTCCCGCCGACGGTGGCCCCGAGAGCGGTCCAGCTGAGGCGCCGGTTGTCCTTCCGCGTCCGCTTCGTCTGTGCATGATTAGCCATGGCAGCGAGCTCACGTCGCTCGGCGATATCGCGGTCGATGACCATGACGTAGTCAAGCAGACTGCTGGGCGCGGACGGGGACGACGGGTCCGGGAAGAGGGCGGAGAGGTAGTCGGTCAGCAGCATGACGGGGCGCTGGTCGGGCACCCAGTGGCCCGAGGGCTGGGGGATCTGGTTGTGGATGATGTAGACGCCGCCGCAGAAGCGGCCGTCGAACTTCTTGTTGACGGCGCGCAGGACGCCCATCTGCGCGAAGGGGTCGTTGGCGTAGGCGAAGTGCTCAATGTGCGGGCCGCGCTCGTCGATGACGGCCTCCTCGAAGCGGGACTTGCGGCTGTCGCCGAGGGGCACGACGAATTCTGAGGCGGCGGCGCCGAAGGTGTAGATCTCGAGCTTGTTGAGCTTCTCGGGCTGGATGTCGGCGCAGAGGCGGGCGAGGACGAGGGCGGTGGGGAGGGTGCCGTTGTTGTGGGCGAGGACGGCGACTCGGGTGACGGCGGCGTCGAGGAGGGCGGTGCGCAGTTCGGAGTAGAGCGCTCGCGAGGCTTGGGTCTGGAAGGGGAAGCAGCGTTGTATGGCGAGGAGGAGCATGTCGAAGGGGAGGCCGTATGTGGCCATCTGGATGCCGCTGAAGGACTTGCCAAAGAGGCGGGCTAGGCGGGGGAGAGTGCATTGAGAGAGGTGTGTCGAGCTGAACTGTGGTGTTAGTGTTGTTCAAGCGAGGCAAAAGGACCAACACGGAAAACTCACCTTGTTCCCATGCCGCCGATGAAGATCCATTTCTCTTCGTCTTCCTCTGCCTCTGATGTGCTGTTGCCGAACTCGTCGCAGTTGACAATGATGTTGCTCCCGTTCATCAGCCAGCTGAGAGCCAAAACCAAGCTCATGGACAACGCCAGCCATGCCGCGAAGAGAATCCCCGGGAGAATCATAAACATCGGTACGGCGAGCGTGATCATTCCCACTTCAACAATGGCCAAGCTGAGCTGAACGATGATGTCCTTCAGATGGCTCTTAGACAGGTGTGCGCGGTGGTTGGCGACGTGTGTCCTCAGCGATGTCATCAACCCCGGCAGCATCTTCCACATTTCCCTCAGATCATCCTGGAGCAACGCAAACGGCTGCTTCTGTGCCAGTGGGACTGTTCCGCAAGCTCCGTCGATCAATGGCGGGATGTAAGTCACGGACGGGCCATAGTTCTTTATCGGACCACACAAGCTCGATCTCGGTGACGTCCTCGGTGAGCTTCTTGCTGAGTTTGATAGACGGGGTGATGAGGCTGGTGAGTTGTAAGAGGGTGATCTTGATAGCCAAGGCATGCTGGGCGAGGCTGTTGGTGATCGTTTCGAAGCGATGAAAGGCATCGCGGACTGGTGTTGTGGGGGGGGAGAGCTCCCGGAGGAGGAGGCAGACGGTTTCGGTGTTTGGATTAAAGATGTAAAGCTCTGCAGAGCAGCTTATCTGACGGCAAAGGAATTCTTCTGATGGAGAGCTGATATGATCAACAAGCAAGCCCGAGAATGGAGTTCAGGAATCGAATAATAGCAACCAGGGAGGGGTTCAGCAAAAGTGGAGGATATTCACACGCTCCGTGAGGATCTCACATGCACTTTTAACCTCTATTGCGTTTGTTTTGTTGATGTCTCGTCGTCCACGGTCTCCCTTATCATTCTTCGCCGCTCGGGCAATCTTGTTGCAGACGACGGCGCGCAGCGCTTGCGTGGTGGCGCATTCCTCGGCCAAATTCGCCCCGTGCCTTGACCATCTTAGGTTCTTAGGTGCCGCCTATTGGGAAAAGTAGTGGGAAGGTAAGAAAATGGTTTGGGAAGTTTGTTTGGAAATTTTCTTTGGCTTGTTTACTCCCGAAAAGCCCGTTGCCATGATGGATACAGCTCCGATGATCACGATGTTGGAGCAGGAACTTCCAACTGTCGATGTCTCTTTTTCTTCACACGAGAGACAATGGGACTGGCAAGACGATGTCTCACACCCTGGAACCCCACGAATAAGAGAGAGCTGAAGTCTGTAGCCTACCCGCGCAAGCCGGCCCAGTCTTACCGTGCCTTGCATCCAGCAACGACCCTGCAGCAAACACGAACCATTGACTCTTGCCTCCCCATTCTCCTCGGAGGAGGGGAGGAGAAAGACCGGATGGCATTGGGGCATTGGTCGCCCCGGCTGCACGGGTTCCAGAGCCGGGTCGATCCCGCTGCGGCTAAATGGCACTCTCGCAGCTTGGGAATCTTGGTATGGGTCCCCGAGCAACAGCCCTAAGAGAATGGATGCACAGATGGGCAGAACCCCGTCTTCTCTCGTCCCTCTTCATCGAATTGGGTTCAGGGTTCTCTTTCTGGTGAGCCGCAGGAGAGGGTTGCTGAGCACGCACACCCAGGAGCTAGGACAGCAGCTGGAGTTGCTAGACTGCTTGCTGGGGTGCTAGAACGGCACTAGACCAGACGGTATTTTCGTCCAAAGTTTGGCTCTGGGGTGAGGGAGGGGAAGAGGAGGAAGAAGGCCTTTGCTTTGCATGTGAAGCTCTGACGTTGCCTTTGTCTGTGCTTGCTGCAGTGGCTCCTGCATAGGAGCACGTCCTTCGCGCGTAAGCAACAAAGTCCGATCTCTTCTCTCCCTTGGGGGCCGTGGATCTTTCTTGTGGTCCCAGCGAAGCACGTTTTCTCATGGCAAACTCGGGAAACCTGGGAACACGAAGGACTCTCTTACACGCTAGGCGGATGTGTCGAAGATAAGCCTGGATCGGAATGCGAGACCTGCGACGGCACGACGGGTCTACGGGATGCTTTTTTCGACCAGCATCTGCGGGTTAGGAATGCGAAGCTAACTCTAAACTTCTGCGACACAAACATTGCGCAGCCGGCAATCAGTGCAGAATCCGAGGAAACATATTGCCAACATTCCACAGCTTATCTCGACATCAACCACCAGTCTCTCGCTCGGCAGGTTCCATTTCAGTTTGAAGGAGACCTTCGGAGGCTCAAGGTTTCGCCTAGAAGTCGAGCATCGCTGTGACCTTGATTCTAGCTTGATTCCGCATCCTGCGTACCCCTCCAACTTCAAACATGAGGCGTTCTTGGGCTTCTCTACGAAGAGCTCGCGTTCGCGTCCCAGAGGAGAGCTCCGGTGGCGAGGCACGGACTGCACGTGGTGGAGGCTTGAAATGGACAGACCGTTATCCGTTCTCTCAACTGATGGACGTGAAACTTTTTCGTAAGCGGCTGTTGTGTGCTACCATTCTGCCGCACTTTAGTCCAGAGGAGGCTCGTTTATGGTGAGGGTGAGTGTACAGCGTGTGAGCGTGTATCAGCCTACGCCGCATGGTCTGGGCGAGAGACACGAGCTACGAGGTGATCTGCAGAGGACGGACAGCTTGGAGAGCTTCCTCTTCCGCCACACCCAGCCCTGTGAAATAGTATGGCAGTGGCGAGGGAAACAATTCAACAACCATGCGCCACCGAAAGCCACAGCCCCCAACGGCCGCTGCCCAATGTCTAGATCTCGTGGCGCATTTGGAGGGGACTGGTGATCTAGGCAACGACACCATTGCGGGGTTCTTTGCCCCTGATAGACCCGGAAACGCATATGAGGAGTTCCATAGGGCTTTCAACGGTTCGCTCTTAGTTGAGGGACCGCAAGAGACCATGGTTTGTCTAATATCAGCGGTTAATGAACTTGTTAAGCCACGATGGTGACGTGAACTAAATCAGGGAATGAAAGTCGGGACTTTTGGCTAGACTTTGGATACCAGGACAACGTTATCAGTGGATACAGATTTAGTATTCATTTAGGCCAAGAGAGACGCTGGTAGATCCCATAAGTAAACGGTAACAAAGAAAGAGGAGATGGACTACTAAACGCGAATCGAGTCCGTTTATTGAGCGAACTGTCTAGCCATATGCAGCAAGTCTTTTTATGAAACACAGCGTTTAGAGGTCATTTGTCATAATGCAATATCTCCATGGGAAGTTGAACAAATCATTTTACCATTCAACGTTGATAACAGCGATCATTCTGGGAAATGACTATGTCTCAAACGACTTAAGATCTGGCAATAGTTCCTTGAACTTTGAGTATTTTTTCTTTTATTCAAGTAACCTTCAACGAGGATCTCAAGGCAATCTTGTTGGAACCTCTTCAATTTGGCTTCAGGCATCATTAACTTGCCACTCCCCCCGAAATCTGAGCATCATCGTCGTATTTAACACGTATGTCTTGACATTTCATGGTTAATCTTACACTTAGAGTACTCTTTTGGGGTTTTCAAAAAGGAGACCCAGATTGGGCAACTCTATAAGACCAAGGCATCCTTGCTCGGCTATCATCTCGTATTTCCCAACAATCCTAGTGAATCTGAGGCATCAGATACAAAAGTTCCGATCGCTGCTCTCCGATCTCAACCTCGGATATCCCGAATCACGACTTTGTGAAATGCGACCGCGCATTAGACAACCAACGGCCATTCGCCGGATAAGGGTCTAGACCGGACGTCACGTCAGTTTGGGGGCCGGTTAGCCCCGAACCAAAGATCAATGACGGAACACTCGCAGTTCAAGCCAAGAAGTTTGGCCCGCTACAAAAGCTCCGGCAGATCGTCATATCATTTCTCTCGACCCTATCAAAACCCGATGTGCGCCTACACAACGTCCTTTTTAGCCTGAGTCTGACAGTCCCGCCGTGCATCAATCACCGGCCACCGCGACAGCACCCCACGTGGTGCAAGTGAGACACAGCCAACCATGTGACGATCCCCGTACACCGGATTGTGTGTTCTTGCATGAGTTTTCCGTCCGCAATTGGATTTCCTCACATGCAGGATGCGACCACATTTTGCTTTGGAGCCAATTGCGGGAGCTAAATGACATGATGATACATCTCACCCGCATGGTCCCCCCATCCATGACATCAACGACTCTGAAAGCGCCGGTTCGTCCCATGTGAGCCGCCTCAGAACGCCTCAGCCGAGAAAGAACAAACTACGTTGCGCTCATGAGAGCATGCTTCCATTTCGCATATCACCTTGATGTACCCGTCGTCGCAAATTTCCCTGCCCTTCTTGCACTCGAAATCACAGTTTGTGCAATGACAGACGCGATGCCTGCGACCGACACAACAAAGCTGCCGCTCGAAGGCGGTCCAGCGTACGGTTTGAGTGAGGTCGACAGACAGGGCGCAACGAGCCCCATGCTACGCGGCCTCGATGGCTTGTCGCTCTACGAGAAGAAATGCGTGCTGATCAATCGCGAGATCGATTCGCAGGGCATGGGTAAATATCAGTGGTACATCTGGGGTCTCTGCGGCTTCGGATACATGCTTGATTTGCTATGGGCACAGGCTTTTGGATTGGTCCTGAAGCCTTTGCAGCAAGAGATGGGGTTTGTGAACGACCAGTCCGGGAATATTGCGACGAGTTTCAATGCTGGATTGACTGCCGGCGCATTCGTTTGGGGATTCTTGGCGGATATCATCGGTATGACGATCTCGGCACGTCCCAAACTCGAAAGATCCTTGATCTGGGGATTGCTCGGGAACCTTCGTGCGGCAGTTGAACTTACATCTGCCAGGTCGTACATGGGCCTTCAACTTGACCTGCCTCATCGCATCGATATTTGGGCTTTGCTTGGGCGCATCGAACAGCTACAACACGTTTCTCGTATTAACCGCTTTCGTCGGCGTAGGGGTGGGGGGCAATATTCCAATCGACACCACCATCACTCTAGAGTTTATCCCCCAGGTTTGTCAACTCATCAAATGATCGAGTTTACACGGCCCTCTGACACACTAATCAGAACAGACGCTTCCTGCTGGCTTGCCTGTCCATCTTTCAACCGATCGGTGTGATTGTCTGCAGTGCCGTCGCGTTCGGCTTCATCCCCGTATTCTCCTGCTCTCCCAACTTTTCCCAGATCGACGAAGGACCGCTCCTGTCATGCAACAACGTCGCGCCCGGAACAAAGTGCTGCGCGCGGGTCGACAACATGGGCTGGCGATATCTCCTCTTCACACTCGGCGGCATCACCCTTTTCGTATTTGTCCTCCGATTCTTCGTCTTTAAATTTCAAGAAAC